TTTCTGGTCCTCTCTTGTATTTGCCCACCATGACACTCCTCCCCAACACACACTCATTCCCCTTCATTCTTTCCTCACCTCTTACTCTTCTCTCTGCTCTTCTCTTTCCATTCCTTTTCACTCCTCTTTCAGTGTTACCAGAGGTCCCTTAGGACTTTCTCTGAGATAGAAACAACATACGTACATTGATCACTGTGGAGTTGCTGAGAATATTACACTCCAGATGTATTGGATCATTTGTGGTATATTCCAACAGTGTAAATAGTCAACAAGTATTTCAGGAAGATGGAGGTTGATGCTGGCATCATGGACCATGTGTTTTTTGCACAGGTCAGTATTTTACATGCTAGTCACTGTGGAAAGTAGGAGGGAGCTGACACTGAAACTAAGCAAACCTCAGCACTACATCTGGCCCTGGCACCTGTAAGGGCCCTTTGCTACTATGTAACACCACCGGGGCTGGCTTGTTTACTATCTGAAACATTTGGTTCTTTAAAGCACTTTTTATTTTGGGAGGCTCTTTCTTAATCTTTGTTCATTACAGTCTTCTGTCCTTATTAAAAATTTTCATGGGGCAAAGAGGCCGTAGCCTGTTTCTGACCTGTCAGTGTGAACAGTATGTCATTACTCTTTAACTCGTTGAATTAAATGTGAACAGATACTTTGTCAGAACCTTCATTATAATTCTTATTTTATATAGTGGGAAGGAATACAAAAGAAATAGAAGTCACTGTTAGGTAGGGTATAGTCTGCTAGGGGGAAAGGAAAATATAATTGGAAAGAAATAAGATACTACTTTGGGGATATTTTGCTTTTACTTTTCAGTGGAAAAAAACCCCTGGTTTTAGAGTGGGAAAATAGGAGTATTTGAGTAAATGCTGTTAAGAAATGTGAAGCTATATGAAGCCAAGGTGTGACTAAGAGGTTGGCTACTTGATTGGAGTGAGCATGTTAGGTGGTCTGAAACATCCCATTTTACTAGGTAGCATCCCATTTGAAGAGACATCACTGTGATGGTCAGTCATCTTTGAAAAACTACACAAACAAGTGTTTAAAGGATGTAGGTGAAAAGAATGTAGTTCCACTTTTAAAAAGGAACAAAGGTTTGATTATATAAACCGCAGACAAGTAGGTGTGATGTCTAAGGCAAAAAAAAATCAATAAATGGATTAATTGAAAAATGGATTTTTGAGCACTTAGAAAACAAAGAGAGTGATCACTAATTATGGCCCCACTAAGAATGCCATGCCTGATTAATCTGATTTTGGTTTTGTTACAATTGTTCATTTAAGGGCTGGGGATTAGCTCGGTGGCAGAATGCCTTCCTTTCATGCTCAAGGCTCTGGGTTCAATCCGCATTACCACCAAAAAATTAAAAATTAAAAAAATATGGCTCATTTAGTGAGTCAGATAAAAGCTATCAGACTAGCACATTTAGGTAAAAGTAGATCATATGACATAGTCATATTGGAAAATATTGCTTACAATTTATACACCAAACCACAGGTTAATATCATCTATTAAAACATATTCCATACTTTAAAACTTCATTATGCAAATAATGCATGTTTATAGTAGAAAAACTATGTAGTAGTTAAGCAAAAATAATAAACTGATAGGTTTTTAACCACTACTAGTATTTATTCCTTACAGTCATTTGTGTAAACATATATAGGCTTATGCCCTGTATAATACTCATAATAAATGGGATTATACTGCACATACTGTTCCTAACTTGCTTTTTTACTTGTTAAAATATATTAGTATAACAAATGACTGCTATAGACTTATTTTCCATATTTTATTTCACCATATTTTTGTTTCATAATTGTTATTTAATTTCATAAAACATACACCAAGCATATAATTTTTCTAAAACAATGCAATTTTGAATATCCTTTTTATTTTTAAATTTTTTAGTGGTACATTTATAGTACATAATTAGTACTTTCATTATGGAGACTTGGTGAATGTACATAACACATCTTAATTCTTCTTTTCATCCCCTTCCCTTTTGCAAAAGATCTAATTCCCTGTTTCCTATTACCTTTTAGTTCGCTCTTTATGTTTTGAGTTTCTCCTGTAAATTATGCAGTATTTAAGTTTCTATGTCTTATTTATTTTACTTAACATTATCGTCTCAGAGCACATCCACTATCCTACAAATTACTCAAATTTACCCTTCTTTATGGCAGAGTAGTACTCCATTGTGTATAAATACCACATTGCAGTTTTGAATATCCTAATAGCAGTTATTTTGCATATGCCTTAATTATTAGAGTAAATTCCCAAGGGTGAAATTACCAATATGCACTGTCAAATTGGAGAATTTGTTTCTCTAAATCCCCAGTAGTGAAATATATCAATTTTTGAAGTATTTTAGTTGCACTTCCCTGATAACTTTTATATTTGCTTGCTTTCTCTCCTTTTTTGTTCACATCCTTTATTTAACTTTCTATGTAGGGTACTTCGTTTTGTTACTGATTTTTAAAAGTTTAATATATTTTAGGAAATGAAGGTGATCTATTTTTGATCCTATTCCATTTAATATTTGTTATGACTCACTTAGATGAAAGATTGCTTAGCATGGTGTTTATATTTATGGATGGCATTACATGGGGGAGGTATAGTTAATACTAAATTCCAGGGAGATCTGTGATTGAAATGATGAGTCAAAATAAGGAAAACCAGGGTAAGGATTAATAAGCACTTGGAACTTGTCTGAAAGCAACTATATAGTTTAGGATGATAACTACTAGATACTAGACTTTTTTTTTAATATGTTAACTGCAATCATCACAGCAAATCTATAAAACAGATATTACTGTTTTCATTTATAAATGAGAAATCTGCGACAGAGAGAGGTTATATTAACTTGTCCAAGTTCCAAATAGTAGAGCCTGGATTCCAGGCACAGGTCCTTTGATCCTGTTGGCCCTTAGTCTCTGTATGCCTTGGAGATACAGCTTAACAACATTTCAGAAATAATGTCTGAAAAGGTCAACTAGACAACATAAGGAAGGGCCAGAACAGCCAATCCATTTTCCTCTACAGTGTTTCAGATAAGGGAAATAATTACCCATTCTATTCTGTTTTAGATAGTTCAAATCTAGAATATTACTTAAATTCTGATAAATTCTGAATTACTGCTTAGATGAAGCTCAGTAGTAAAGCATTCGCCTAGCATGTGTTACGCTCTCAGTTCAATCCTCAACACTTCAAAAAAGGAGAAAGTCACCATTTCATTTTTATCATTGTTCCTAGATCTGAGTGTCTGTAGAAAGCACTTAGGAAGTCAACATTAGATTGACCATTCCCAGCAATAAGTTGGTGACCACAAGACACAGAAAATGACATACAGGAATCTGGGAAATAGGAACTCTAGATGCCCCTATGGAGGGACCTACTGCCTAGGTCCACCCTCCACATTTTCTTTGTTTAGTTGTCTTTTTGATGTGATTATATAAAATAAATTTGAATTATTATAGTTGGTTTCATTTACATCGTTGGCATTAAAAGTGTGCTAGAACCATAAAAGCAAATGATCATAACTAATAAACCATGACTTTTTGCTAACAGAAAATGCTCTTGATATGATTTGTTTTTTATTAAAATAAACCAATATTGAGATTTAGGATGTAGACCTAAGGATAACTACTACCCTTACCCACTTTCAAGTGAACTGAGTTGACATACATGGAAGCATTGGAAACAGACTTGAGTGAGTGAGCTTGTTCAGCATCCACTGGAGTATGACATTCCAGGGAGCGCACACTCAATACTAGTTCAGTTTCAGATATGTTCTGCTTTTGTTTTGTTTGAATACTGCTGTGGAGGATTTTTTAAAACATTTAACATAATTTCATATGAATTGCAAATTGGTGGCTCTCTCTGCAGGCTGCCAAAATCAGTGAGTGGAGAAGGGGAATTTTGTCCCTGTGACAGCTCATCTTGCAGACATGAATTGGCCATTCCTTAGCCCCACAGTTTCCCTTTGCTTTTTTTTTTGTACCAGGAATCGAACTCCGGTCCTTGGGCTTTTGAGGCAGGTGGTGGAACCACTGAGCTAAATCCCCAGCCCAAAAGGTTTTTTTTTTTTTTTTTTTTTTACCAGGGATTGAACTTGGGTCTTTGTGCTTGTGCAGCAGGTGGTGAAACAACTGAGCTAAATCCCCAGCCTCCCTTTGCTTTTTAAATGGTGTATTTTTATCAGATTCCTACTTGCCAACCTGAGAAGGATATTTTGATGATTAGCTGTTACTAATATCTGATAGAAATCAACCAGCCATTGAGTGAGCCAGTTCTGCCATTACAAAGTTGTAAAAGAGAGAGAACTAAAGGAAGGTTCATAAATTCATTTTTTTCTTTTTCATAGGTTCTTTTGTTGTAGTGTGGAGGGTTAAACTCAGGGCCTCACACATGCTAGACAAGACCTCTACCCACTGAGCCACACTTCTAACCCCTCTATTACATTGTTTTTAAATCTTGATAATTTGTGTTTGTTGGGATTATTTGTCGATAGGGAAGAACGGATTTATGTATTTATCTGGAACTAAATTGATAATTATTTGTAGGGCTGATTACAAAAATCTTTTGGGAAATACTAGGTGAGCTTTATTTTTACTGCTTATTGGTTTTTAACCCAATGAGTGAAATAACTACTTGAGAATATTGACATAGGCCACATGCAAGTCAGCTTTCTTCACTCCATGTATTTCGTGTGATGACTAATCAGAAACTAAACTGGTAATACTTAAGTCATTTCATATGTAATGTTCTAAAAACCAAAGAAAATTTTCACAATGAGAAGCATTTTAGAGTTTGAATTAGTGCTTAAATTAACTTTTCAACATATCATACATTTTATATAGAAAGATACAAGAACATTGTTGTCCATTTCCTCATGTTCACACATTAATAATGTGTCTCTTATGTTGTGTATTTTACTTATTAGTATATGTATATGTACATTTTACTTATTAATTTATCTTTCCCTTTAGGTAAAGAGGATGAATATCCAAAGAAACCATTGGGGCAGCTTCCACCTGAATGTCTTTCTGGTGGAATTAACCACATTAGCAATGGGCAAAGAAGTGTTGGCAGGCCCAGTCCCCATATAAACAGCAGAAGAGAAAGTGGCTCATCACCTCACAGAAAGCATGAGCACTCCCCCCACCATCAGAATAAAACTGGTACACCAGAACGAGTGAGGCAGCTCAGACAGAAATCAGTGGATGAAGATAGTAAAAATCTTAAAGATGAGAATTTTCAAAGAAAACTTTCTTCAGGTCCACAAGACAATTCCAGGCACTATAACCATGCAGCTGCTAACCAAAATAGCAATGCTACTTCAAATATCAAGAAGGAATTTATGCCCAAATGGAATAAACCATCAGATAGTTCAGCTGTTGAAAGAACTGCCAAATATGTCATCGAAGGCAAAAGCAGATCGGTCCACCCCATACTTACAGTCACCACTCCAAGTTCTGCTGATGCTCGGATAGCAAATGCAAGGCAGAAGATGAAGGTCTTGGATGGTGATGATGGGAAGCGGGGCTCTAATGCATCACAGTATGATAATGTTCCTGGGAGTGAAAATGAAAACGGAGCTTCTGTTGAAGAGGCACTAGAGAGGGCTTACTCTCAAAGTCCAAGGAATGTCATTTACTCCAACAGTCCAAGAAAGCACGCTGAGCCAGGTTGTAGTCCACCAAAAGTACTCAACAAGTTTACCTTTAAAGTACAGCCTCCAAGCTATGGAAAATATCCATCTCAGTTAGAAGAAGATCAAGGGACCATGTATCCTCCATCCTACAGCAATCCCCCTGTTTACCATGGAAATTCTCCGAAACACATCCCCACTGCTAACAGCTTTGTGTCTCCGCAGATTAGTCCTGGAACTCAAATGAATCCTTCCAGGAGACCTTATGTTTCTACTCTTTCAGTTGATACTTCTCCAGAGAAACCTTATAGCGGTCTAGCCCCTCTTGTACTACCATCTAGTCGAATAGAAGTCCTTCCTGTTGATATTGGTGCTGGGGGATACTCGGGCCATTCAGGGTCACCAAAGAATGGTAAATTTATCATTCCTCCAGTAGATTATTTGCCAGATAACAGAAAATGGTCAGAAGTTGGTTATACATGCAGACCAGAGATGCATGGACAATCATGGACTCGAGATACTAACCGTAGCCACTTAAGCAATTTACCAAAATATTCAGCCTTTCAACATGTGCCCTTTCAGGACCATAACCTCCCAGCAGTTTCAGTTGATAGCCCAGTGCGGTATAAAACTTCACCAGCTATAGATGATGCCAGTCCAGCTGGGTATCAATATGCAGGGCCCTTGCCTCCAGCATATCACTATAGAAATCGGGAGGGGCTTTCTGTTCAAGAGTCAGTATTGCTGTGAGAGTTTATCCTTACTAAAGGCAAGAGAATAGAAACTATGAAACCTGCATTGCTATGTTTTAATTGCCAAAGCAGTATTTGATATTATTGTAAACAACTCGCACAATTCTCATGTATATTAGTAATAAGAATATTTAGAAATGTTTTCATCCCCATGTAGATGCTGCTTAAGATGAGCATTTTAAATTGCATCATCACTGAACCTCTTAAAAATTTAACCTGGAAACATAGCAATAGCACTTAGGGATGCACGCAGTGATGATTCTTTACTCAGTTTCATTTATATCGTTCTCAAAACCTGGACATTTTCATTCTGTTGGCCCATTCTATTTTGGCAAATATTACAAAGCCCTGAAAAACTGTTGAGCAGATATTTTTGAGGCTCTATGTGGTGTATGTGTCTTTTAATAGATATTATAGTCATCTATGCATACACATTTGAGCACAGAATTGAAGAAATATTTTTTAAAACTATTTTCAGTCTCCATGAAATAATGTTACTCTTCTTTTCCTTATCTTTTAGTCCAGTTTTTCCCCTTCATATTTTTTAACTTAAAACCTAACCTGAATAAAAGTTTACCTGACTTTGTTAATACATCTCAGCAAATGCTCATCATTCTCCTTCAGCTGCTGCCATTTTCTTTCAGTCTGAAAATTAAAGACATTGGAGAGAAAAGCTAACCACTCAATGGTGCTTAAAAACTGGAGCAGTTAAGCCAAAGGTGCAGCACTTATTGTATCTGGACCCCAGATCAGTCTTAGTGCTTCCGTGCTCTTTGCTCTGGTCTGACTTTCACAGCTCAGAGCAGACTATTCCTTGGCAGAAGCCGGGGAAATGCTGCAGCACAGCTCTCTAGGGATTCTGCAAGAGAAGCTACACTGCTTGTGCAGCACTTGCAGAAGAAGTCCATGTCAGGGCAGGGTTTGTAGTATGGTCACTTCTCACTCTGCCCCTTCATTCTTTCAGGGCCTCCTCCCCAAGGGCCCAGGGTAGTTGTTAACATGAGCTATTTCTGACACTCTTTCTTTAAAAATGTAGTCAACCTGATATTGCTGCTCGTACCAGTCCTCCACATTAGCTTTTACATTATTTATCCATATTAAAATTGTAAAAAAAAAAATTTACCTTAATTGTTATTAGAAGTCTAGAATTTTAATTCTTTTTAAAAATACAGTGTGACTTTTATACTTTCAAAAGTCTTCTTTTTCTTTTTTCACTGGTGAAAAAAAATTTAGGTTCATGGTTAAAAAAAAAATCAGTGATGTCTTTTTTTTTGGTACCAGGAGTCAAACTCGGGACCTTACGCTTGCTAGGCAGGCGGTGGAACCACTGAGCTAAATCCCTGGCCCAGTGATGTCTTTAAAAATATCCTATTACACTACAGTTACCAAACACTGAACACTGACAAAATTTTGGGCACTGCACAAAAGTAAGACATTGTATTTAAGTGGAGTGCTTGTTTTCAACATTACTTTGCTCATATTTGCATAACAGAAAATAGATAATCTAACATTGATGGTTCTTCCTGTTGCAAGTTAGGGCTGTAAGCTTTTGAGGTACAAGAATATGTCTTAAAATGAAAGTAACATTTGTTTAGCTAGTGAATGTAACAATGTATATAGAATATAATTTTAATCAACTTTGGAATGATGTTATTGGCAAAACAAATGCAGTGTGTTAAAGTTAAACTACACTGAAACTCAAAATTCTGGTAAAATAACTGGGCTTTTGATTTAGATCATGTGGAAGCTGAGAAATAAATGTATATAAAGATGTAGCAGATGATATTAAGTCCAATTTTTAAACTATGATTCTGTGACTTGTAATGAACCAAGCTGTATAATTTAGTTTATTATAGCAGCATCTGAGCTGCTCCAAAATATATATCAACAGTGGGAAATACTGTAGATTTATATATATGCACAAAATAGTATATATATATATATATATATACACACACACACACACACACACATACTATTTTCTTATGTCATCTATGACAGTTTTTACCTGTATGCTTTTTTATGTAATTTTATTAACATGCTGAAAGTAATATTTTATTTTGTCTTTTGTGTGCATTTGTTTTTAATATGGCAAAAGTGCTGTATCTCTGATGCCTTTAAGGCTAATTCTTTTTTAATTGAGTAGATGTTGCCTGGTGTTCATCCATAATGCTTTATATGTGTTACAATTCTATGTTGTATGTTGTATTAGTTTGTAGTAAGACTGTATTTAGAACTACATTACCTTTTCTTTATTTAATGAAATTACTAATAGCAATAAGGTTTTATTTTCATTTTAAAATGTACCTGTTAGTTTTTTAAGTGGGAAAATTTAATTTGAAATTTTGCCACCATACAGTTTTCCTCTTTCAAATTTATTTTTTAATAAAAGATAATGAAGTAATGGTAAAAAGTGAAATAATATTGGCAAAGTAGGTCAAAATGTATTTATATAAAACATATTTTGTAAGGGTAATTTTACTCTATAACTGCATACACATAATGTGTTTTTCCATTGATTCTTTTCTTCCTGACAGTTTTTCCCAACATAATAAGCATTTTGGAATGTTTTTTTATCTTTATGATTCTTTTTTAAATTCTTATCTTGAGAAGTTAAACTAGACCCAAGTTCTCAAAAGCTTTTAAAACTTTGACTCTTTCAGGTGTTTATTTTTAAAGGATTTAAAAAAAATAAATAACTTCTTAAATCTGAGATATATATATATATAAAGTCAGGTCAGAGTATCAATGATAGGTTTCTTGAAAGAATGAAAAAAGTAGGACATTTCTGGAGAAGAAAAACATTTTTTATAGGATGTAATTTTTTTCCATTTTAAGACATTTCTAACTTGTGTCATACTCAGCATCACTTTTGTAGTTGTAGTCATCTAAAACTTTGGTTTCCAGTGTAATACAGTCCCCATTCAGTACTTAGCAGTCAGCAGTTTTCATTTTCATGATTAGAGAAAAACATGCTGTGTCTCCAAATGTGGTTTTACTCGGAGGACCTACAGCTTCCTCTTCTGAAAATAGTATTTTTCTCAGCTCTTAGAATCACGCCTCTATTTTAGTGTGCACCTCATGGTGTGTATGCACCTTAATCTTACTATGATTAAGATTTTGGGATTTTTTTTGTTTTAAATTTTCCTTAAGGGGATTTTAAATGTCTAAATCTACTGTGGATAATAGTGTGGATAAGATGACCCAAGGTATTGAGAATGGAAAAAAAAGAATACATTTAACATTTTTATACATTTTACATTTAGAAAGATTTTCACTTTTATCTATAAATCAACATATAATTGCCACCAATTTATAGATAAAAAGGCTAAGAAATAAAGGAACTTTTTAGATTTCTTAAGAGTGAATCTTTAGTTTGTTGCTCTTTTTCTGGTAAACTTCAAAGTTTTTTTCTGCTTGGGTCCCACACCTCACCATGCTTAAGTCATAGTATCTGGTATGGAACTTAAGCATCAGATAATTGTATTTTTTCCCATAACTTAAAGTTTAATCATTAAGTCCTTTGTTAGCACCCCACCTCCCATCTTATTTTCTTATTATGGGCAAGCTCAAAAATCCCTAACAGATCAAATTGCAGAGTTTAGAAACTCTGATGTCAGCAAAGCTAGGAAGTTTTTCATTGGAAAGATTTAACATTACTAGCCATCTATGCACATTTCAATGAACTACTGCCAGTCATAGTGTGAATGGCTTCAGATAGGTAGCATGGTCCTGTAACTTTCTCTATTTGCTGCTTCCAGTAGTCCTTGAAAACAGGTGAGGCCTTACTAAGTTTTCCATTTTCTACACAACTATCTCATTTTCTTTCTCGTGTTTAGAAACTCCTCAGCTATTTGGAAGAGTAAGACCTGAGAAGATGCTGAGTACTCTGGTTCTTCATTTGACCAGTCATTTTATTGGGCATCTACAGTGTACTAGGTCCACACTTAGGTTGTGAGACAAGCTTTGTAATCTGTATGTCTCCATTCGGTGTTGGAAGTGCATAGCGGCTGTTACTATAGGCAGAGAAAGACCAAAAGTGAACCTAGCTCCAGGTTCTGGGAAGGCTTGTGAGTTGCCTCTACTGAGCTAAAGAGTATTAGCGTAGTCATAGACAAAAGGCAGGGAAAAAGTGGCATTCTGTGGAGAGGTGAATGGCGAGAACTATTGCGTGGTTTGGGGAAATTTGCCCCCTTGATAGGTCTGTAATTGTGGGGGATGTGGGGTGAATTCCATAGAGACCAGATTATGGACGGCCTTAGGGCCTGATCCTGAAGGTGAATTTTGCCACAGTTCATGTTTCCATTTCTTCCGTGGTCCCTTGAGGCTGTGGAGAATAGGTTCGAAGAAACAAGCCAGAGGTGGTTAGGCAGACCTGAGGCCATGGTGAGTGTAGAGCTTAAGGCCAGGGAAGAAGTTGTGAAGAAAAGGTGATTCAGAACTAATTACTAAATGAAATTGGCCAGAGTTGACAAAGTAATCTGAATAATCCTAATAGGAAAAGGAGCTAACACCCAATGCTTATGTTTGTTGCTGTGCTAAGCATTTTACTTGTATTACCTTTAATCCTCACAATAACTGTGGAATATATACTATTGTAATTCCCAGTTTACCATTGAGAAAACTAAGGCTCAAAGTTTAACTGGCAGCTAGTTAAGTAATAGCACCAGGACTAGAATCTAATTTGAATCCCCAGCCTGTGTTTCTTGCCCTACCCCTGAAGTAATTTAAGGGAATAAAATTTACCTATCATAAAACTCAACCGTTTTAAGTTTCTGCTTTTTTTTTTTTTGTAATAGTGCAGTCATCTCAGCTAATACGAGAACATTTTCATTACTGCAAAAAAGATCTTATTCCCATTTGCAATCACACCCATACCCATTTTAAGCCTCAGGCAGCCACTGATCCACTTTCTGTCCTGATTTGCCCTTTGTGGACACTTTATATAAATCTTTATATAAATGGAACCAAATAATGCATCTTTTGTATTTGGCTTCTTTCTTAGCATTGCTTTTGCATATATCAGTAATTACTTTCCTTTTTATTACTGTCTAGTGTTCTGTTGTATGGCTAAGCCACATTGTGTTACCCATTCACTCGTTGATAGATTCATGAGTTGTTTGCACATGCTGTTGTGCCATTTGTGTACACATGTTTAAGTGGATACATGTTTAACTTTTAAGAAACTTCCCAACTTTTCTAAAGCAGCTGTAGCCTTCCCCCTTCCTACCCACAGTGGAAGAGGGCTCTGGTTTTCCACATCTGTGCTAACACTTGCGATTATCTGATTTTTAAAAAATTATAGCCGTCCTAGTGGATGTGAAGTATTTCATTATGGCTTCAGTTTGCATTTCCCTAATAGCTAATGATGTTTTCATATGCTTGTGAGCCAATTGTATTTCCTCTTTGGTGAAATGTCTATTTACATTTTTGTTCTTTTTAATCCAGTTTTATTTTTATTGAATAGGAAGAGTTAATGTATTCTGGATACAAGTTCTTTATAAGAAATGATTTGCAAATAATTTCTCCCACCCTGTGACTTGTGTATAATTTCTTAATGGTGTCTTTTGAAATGCAAATATTTTTAATTTTAATGAAGTCTAATTTATTAGTTTTTCTTGTATAGATTGTCTTTTAGTACTGTATTTCCTGCGTAACTTGAGGTCACAAAGATTTTTTCTCCTGTTTCATTCTGAAAGTTTTATAGTTTTTGCTGTTAAATTTGGGGATATGAGCCATTTTGATATATAGGGTGAGGTAAGGATATAAATTCCAGCAGATGGCCAATGACCTCGACACCATGTGCTAAAAAAAAGACTTCCCTCATTGCACCTCTGTCAAAAGTCAATTGAGCATATGTGTAGGAGTTTAAGTTTTGAAATTGTTAAGTGTAAATTCTCCAACTCCATAATTTTCCATATGTGCAGAGGTAGAAACATTAATTTTTCATACTTGGTATTCTGAGGCCTTTGGATTTATTTCTATGTAGATTTTAGGATCTGCTTATCAGTTTCTGCCAAACAGACTGCTAGGGTTTTTATAGGGATTATTTTGAATCTATGTATGAGTTCAGGAAGATTATCATGTTAACATCGAATCTTCCAGTCTATAAGCATAGAATATCTCTCCATTTAGTCTCACCTTTAATTTCTCTCAGCAATGTTTTATATGGTACATGGCTTCCACTTCTTTTGATAAAGTTAGTCATAAAGTTAGTCATATTTATTCTTTTTTTTGTGGAGGTGGGTGGGTCAGGGCTTTAGCTCAGTGGTTCCACCACCTACCTCCCAAGCGCAAGGTCCCAAGTTCAATCCCCGGTACAAAAAACAAAAAAAAAGGGACATATTTATTCTTTTTTGAGTGGGGCTATTTTCTTCTGAATTTGTGCTCTGACATTCTGCTGAAGGAGGATTGATTCCCAAGCTGAGTGGAAGGGTGGATGATGGGGCCACCATATGATAAAAAGACTTCAGGAGAAGGGGCCAGTTTAGCTTTGGTGGGAAAACTTCTGTTTTGACATGAAGAATTTTAGGATTCGGGATTGACAGTTCGTATTGTCTGACAGGCAGTTGGCTGCTCCAGAGAGCTCGGGCTGGCCAGCATGAAAGATGTATAGTCATGAGAGAGTGCCCACCCTGGGAGGAGGTGCCAACAGAGGATGGAGAGTCAGTGCTGACAAAAACAACTGGAGTTCGTTTTAAATTATAAGCCATGAGTAATAACATTTAGCAGAGTCCACTTTGACAAAGAACAATGTTCCTTTGCATTTATCAGTTCAGTAAAGTGGACTAAAGGCTGTCAAGTCTGTAGGGTAGTCTGAGTTGAGTTGCTACTGAGTGTGACCTTAAAACAAGTTATATTCTCTTACTGGGTCCACTTTGCTCAGCTACAAAGTATGAGCATTTAAGAGGTGCCAGAGAGAGGAACAGTCATGAACTGACTCCACCATATTTGAGTGCCCAGTGACTGGAGTCTGCCTTGGATATGGACTTTGCATGTGTGACTGGCCATTCTTTTAGGTCCTAATAGAATTGGGATGGGACAGGACAAGTCCTTGTCCTTGTGGAGCTTATATTCCACTTCCTCCTCATCTATAAAATGGATATTGTAGTTTTTATTTCATAGTTCTGAGGACTAAATGAGTTAAAGTGCTTGAAAGTGTCCTCCCACTAATAGTTTGTAATATTATTTATAATCATGGCACACAGTGCTACGTTCTAGTGACCAAGAGGGAGATGGCCTTGTTTTTATGGACCCAAGAGCCTAGAGGAGAACAGAGGAAAAGCAATAAACTTGCAGATGATACATGAGAGAGAAAGCATGCTTGGTACAGTTTAAGATGATGCCAGGGCTGATGAAGTAGATTTTCCAAGGAGGAAATGATCAGTGGTATAAAATGCAGCAGAAAGGTCAAGTGATGGGAGACTGAAAAGTCAATTTGAATTTACAATTAGGAGCTCTTTGCTGTAGTGCTGTCCCTTCTAGAGCCCCAGTCAGATTGCAGTGATCACAGGTGAAAGTGGAAAGTGATGGGCCTCTCAAAAGATGTGGATGAAGAGTAGCTGGAATGAAAGATGCAGTTAAGTCAGAGATGGGGAGGAGGGATGAATATATATGGAAAACTGGTAATTGGAAATCAGTTTGACTTCAAAATTCTCAAGTACCTCTACAATAAGACCCTTTGGTTTTATTCCACTGTTGTATTACATATTCTTAAGTATTAAAACAATTATTAAACTTTCTGTAATTCAGATTTGGGTTTATTTGGAGGAAAATCAACATAATCTGAATATAAAAGACAGCCTGGAGAAAACAGCTATTTGTGAGCATCATTGACTTTGTAATTATTTAAACATTACTGCCATGTAGGAGATGTGACTTAGAAATAGCAATGTTCAAAGATGAAAAGATTACCTTCTCCATAAGCTAGATATCAGTCAGTATTTGTCTTTGTTACTTTCTCATCGACAGGACACAATACTCAACACATAGCTTAAAGGAGAGATTTATTTTGGATCATGTTTTTAGTCCACAGATGGCTGGCTCCAAGGTGGGAAGGGCAATGTGGAAGAGTCTGGTGGAGGAAAACTGCTCACTTGATGGCAACCAGGAATTAGAAAAGGAGCCAGAAAGGGAGATGTACCCTTCCAGGTCACACCTCCAGTGACCCACTTTTTTTGACCAGGCCCCACCTCCAACATTCTAGATCTAAACCATAACAGTATTGAACAGAACAGCCAAGTCCATCTTGAGTTAATAAGCTCTGTCACAAATTCATGGTGAGTCTGGGCAGATAGATCACTGAGCCTCTCTGCTTAGTTTTCTGATGTGCACACTCTGGATGTAGAAATGGAAAGCCAGAGTTTGAGCAGGGTTCTGCTCTAAGACAGGCCTATTTGTCTCCTCTATGCTGGATAAATGTCAAGTGTTAGCAAAGCAATGGCAAAGATCAAGCAGTCCCTCCCCTTGTAAAACGGTGGGGAAGGCAGACATGGGTCATGTGACTATCCACTTCTATGGCAGGGACCACGAAGGAAGGGCACCCGGAGCCATGAGTGCCTTTAGTAATCATCTTAAGCCTTGAAGTGGACATTGGGGGGATGTAGTCTTGATAATGGGCAGAGGAGACTGGCTGGAAGCCAAGAAAGATGAGGCAGCTTTTCACAACCTGGGAACAAGGAGAGCAGAGTAGCCCATGTTGACAAACAGCTGGAGTCACAGACATGAAACCTATCAGCCCTGTCTGTGCCATGAGTAATCCCATTATCAGTTATCTTTGAAAAGGAACAATGACAATGACCCTAAGAATTTGTCAGTTTGGTAGAATGGAGTAGGAGCCATCAAATTTGCATAATCTGAATTTGCTTCTCAGTGTGACCTTGGGCAAGTCACATTCCCTTTCTGGGCCTCACTTTCCTCAGCTATAAAATGTCAGAAGAGAATGTAAGACAATGGACCTCTGCCATGTCTGCAAATAAGAATCACTTGGAGAGCTTCTAAAAGTACTGCTGTCTGGGCCTGTCCCAGACCAGTTAAATCAGGGCTGTTCGGAGTCAAGCCCAGGAATTAGGTTAGTTTTTGTTTTTTAAGTTAAACACTGATACAGTCCAACATTTCATGATTCGGTAATCTAATCCCTAGAACCTAAATTGTTCTTTGTAATGCAATTGTACAGAAATATGCTGCAAGAAATTGGAGCCTTGGGCATTAAACTCTTGCTGAGAAACCATGAATGACCTGCCTCTTAACAAGCAAAGTGCATTGGCCCTTAGAGAAAGAAGGGAGATGGCTCTCTGCACATTTTTCTTTTTTCTTGTAGCTCACATGTCTTCTATCATTATCAGGAAACCACCTTAAATCACATTAGAGGATTTTTTACTTGGAGGTCTTCAGTGGTACAATGGAAAGAACATGGGCTTGAAAACAAACTCGGAGGCAAGTCTGCTTTTCCACAAATGTGGCTGGACTTAATCTCATGAATGCAATGGGGAAGCCAGGCCTTGCCTGCCACTGTTCTGATCATTCCTGGAGCAGGGATGCTAAGTGCAGCTAGGGAAGAGGTGCAAATGTTTGTACTGGGGAAGGGTCATATTCTTATTTAAAGACTTTTCCTCTGTAGACTTTTACCCCCAAATGAAATATAGGCCAAGAAAAGAAAGTGTACAAATAAACATGTTCTATATTCCTGTTAATTAGAGAAATGAAACTGAAACAATGATTGGAAAAGACAGTTGTCCAAAAGGATAGTGTTCATACTCTGCTAGGAAGAGGAAAATTGCACTCCAAAAATGTACCACTTTTCCATTGTCAGAATTTATATATTCTTTGATCTAGCAGTACTACTTGTATGAGCAGAAACAAGTGAGAAAAGGTATATGTAAAGGGATGTTTGTGGTACCATTTTTTTATAATAGAGAAAAAATGCCCATCAGTAGATGATAGGTTAAATTATAGTATATCCTTACAAAACATTTAGGAAGCTTTGTATGTACTGATATGGAAAGATACTTGTGAGTTATTGCTAAGTGAAAAAAGCTACAAAGCTATGTTCCTATGGGCCTTAGCTGGCTTTTGGCTTCTGGCTTTGCCTCAGACCAGCCTGGACGTGTGATTGTGTCAAAGGTCATGAGTGGGTGGGGAGGGAAGTTGCTAACTGTGAGTGTGAGAACCATGGACCCTTGGGAGGGTCATGTGAAATTGTTTGCCCGAGACTTGGAGGGTTTTGACGGTAAATTGTGAAAAAAAATTGGAACTGATGGCCTTGCATCTGGGACATAAGGATGAGCCGTATGGAAATGAGACAGGGCAGTGAGTAGGGGGGCAAAGGTGCCTAACAAGGGCTGGAGACAGGAGAGGAGAGGGGAAGCAGAACATAACCACCCCCATTCACCATGAACAAATGCTATGCTTTGGGAATCCAGTGAAGGCTGGTCCTCTCTGGAGGGGTTCTCAGACTGCTCTTCCTCAGTCTGTACACTCGTTTTCTCCTTTACTGTTCATCAGTCTGGAGAGGGCCAGCCCTGAAAGATAGCAGGTGGCCTTTAGGGGACAAAGACCAAGAAAAGCCATGTCTTGATTTTTCTAAGGCTAACATGGCCCGAGGATGAAAGCATGCTGCATTTTACTATTGAAGCTGAGGTCAGGATGATGCCCAATGATGGAAAGTTTGAAAAGCAGTTATAATATTTTAAAGGCAGATGTCTCAGAAATATGAAGACCTCGAAATATGGAGAGAGTCTCAGATCAGACACCTCACATTCTCTTCATGCTGAATAAATCGATGTCAGACTTAAAGCTTCTTTTTAAAAGGATACCTAGGAAGCCAGTCTTTTCATCCCTGACCAACCCTGATCAGAAATCACGGGAAAGTATTTATTGATTTCAGGAAGACGGTAGAGGCAGTTTTAAACCTGGATTGTTCTGTCTCTTAAAAATCACTGGATGATCCATTAGTGCAGAGTAGCCTACTTTGAATTTTATGGATCACCAAAATATTCTCTAAGATTTAGGCACTGTCACAGTTTTCTGTTTGTATTTTGTCAATATTATGTTCATAAAAATATGCACAAAAAGGAAATAAAATATAAATCAAAAGTGAACAATCCTTTTAAATTAAACATATATAACTTTAAAAAATACTTCATATTGATTTTTATTTTTAAATCTCTGCATCGCTTCTTGGCCTTTTGGCTAAGATCAAGTGTAAATCTCTGCAGACCAGGAGAAAACTGTTTGGGTCAGCCCTGGTCCACACACTGCACTTAGGTGCTCCTGAATATTGTGTGTTTCAATACAAGATGATATGAGTGGAACAGGTGGTTAATAGAAAATTAGATTCTTTAGCCAAACCAGATGATAATCTGCCCTGAATCAATATACTATTAGTCCTGGAGACCAATAAACATACCGTAACTATTAATTTATGGATAGGTTCTTGGAAATAACTTCAGAAAAGGAATCCAAGCTTGAACCAGTCTTTGTTACACCAGGTGGAGTGTGTTTAGTCAGAGTCCTAAAAAGGGAACTATATAATGTATTTTTTAAAATCCACTGTAATCTACAAATTAAGTTTGAGATAAGCCAAGAGAAGGGAAGGAAATGAGAACTTAATTGAAGCTGATATAAGAAATTATGAACTGGGTCGGGGATTTAGCTCAGTGTTTCTGCTGCCTGCCTTGAAATCAGAAGGTCCAGAGTTCAATCCCCGGTACCAAAAAAGAAATTATGAACCATGTAAAGAAACCCCAAAGTTCTTTGTGATAACGTATTGGTAGACATTAGGGACAACATACCCAGAAGTCAGTCCCCAGACAACTTCACATGAGGACCAAGAGGCCAAAAAGAAGCTGCCTAACCCAGCAAATGTCCAACAGCCGGAAAACTATGTTGGGGGTCTTCAGGACATCTCAGATCACACCCAATGTCAAATTTCTGTCTTTCGGTGGTCTAGTTTGTGGTTGGCATTTTACAGATGAAGAAGCAAGCCTAGAACCTCAAGGGACTTACTCAAGGTCTTGCGACTAGGCAGGGACTAGACTTTACCTTTCCAAGCCTGTGCTTCATCCTGAGGCTGAGTGACAGTAGCAAGTCAGAAGCAGGAAAGTGGGCACTATAACTTTGCACTCTTCCTGAAGCCAGCACCCCCCCAGCCTGACAACAGAGAAGAGAGGAAGGCAGATAAATGTAAAACCAACAAACCCAGTCACAAATAGAAGATGATATTTTGGTTCAATTAATAGAAGTAAAAGCTTGACAAAAATAAGACTTAATGGAATTACTGTGTAGGTTGGTACATGTAATACAGTTCGTGAGTCACATTCACTCAACATAGTGTTATTGACTATGTTCCAGTAAGGGTCCATCAGAACAAAGTCAAATTTTGTTCACTATACTCCTTAAAAAACAACCCCAGAGCCAGGTGTGGTGGCACACACTTGTAATCCCAGCACTTGGAAGGCTGAGGCAGGAGGATCACCGAGAGTTTGAGGGTAGCCTGACCTACACAGCGAGACCCTGTCTCAAAAAACAAAACAATTCAAAACAACCCAAACCACCCTCCTTGAAGTCCTCAGTAATACTTTCTTGGATTATTACAAAATTGAAAGAGTTATTTGAACTGGAAGTTAGACTATGCTCTCAGTTATCCAGGTCACTTATTCTAAAACTTTAATGTACATACAAATGACCTGAGGGTCTTGCTCAAACGCAGATTGTGATTTCAAAGGTCTGCCATTTGC